CTCACAGCAGAACTACAAGCAGCTAAGGACGAGATTCAGTCCCTGCATCAGCGGTTGGCGGCTGGAGGTAGTGGGGGAGGAGGGGCAGAGAGCAATGAGCCTGTGATCAAGACGGTGGTGCGGGAAGTTGTGAAGGTGGTTGAAGTGCAAGTGCCTGCAGGGACAGCGACAGCCGGGGCTGAGAAGCCGGAGGGTGCTCCTGCTGCCACTGCTACCGCCGCCGCTGCTGCTGGAGTGGTGACCACTGTTGCTAGCGGAGACGATTCTGCTGCCGCTGCTGCCGCCCCTGCTGCTGCTGCTGCTGCTGCTGCTGCTGCTGCTGCTGCTGCTGCTGCAGGAGGTGACGTTGTGGTGGTCACGAGCACTGGGGCGTCAGGCCAGTCTGCAGAGGGGCTGGAGAACGAGAAGCTTAAGGCAGCTCTGGACGTGTCGGACTCGCGAGTAGCAGCCATGGAGGAGATGATAGTGCATAAGGACGGGAAGCTGCAGGCGCTGGAGTCGGAGCTGGAGAAGATGAAGCTGGAGCTGCAGCGCATGGAGGACCAGTTCCGCAGCATGGACAGGGAGAACCAGGTGCTCCGCCGCCAGTCGCTCTCTGTGGCCACTGCTGCGCAGACCACGCCGCAGCGGGCTCCTGCTGCCGGGCGGCTTTCTGCGCTGTTTGGGTCGGCAATGACGCCGTCCACACCGAGTGGGCATGACGTGACGCCTGGCACGCCTGGCAGCGCTGCGGCTTCTGCTGCTGCTGCACGCGGGGCCACGCAGGAGGCGGAGGTGAAGCGGCAGCAGATTCTTGCTGAGAGGCAGCAGGTGAGATGGAGGGATGAGGCAAGCCAGCCGGGTGGTAGCTTTGTGGACTTACGGAGAATCTAGCCTTGTTCGTGCTCATGTTGTTTCCTGTGCACTGCGGTACGTCTTAACATGCGCCGTCCTCGTAACTCCTTCCCCCCATCTGTGCCACACTCCTATTCGTCCCTCTCCTGTCTTGCCTCTGCACCATGGCCTGCCCCTGCCCCTTGGCCTGCTGTTCTTCCCTGCAGGCGGATCAGGACACGGTGCTGAAGCTGCTGCTGACGGACCTTGGCTTCGACAACAACCGCCCCGTTGCAGCATGCATGCTGTACCGCGCCCTCGTGCACTGGCGCTCCTTTGACGCGGAGCAGACCAACGTGTTTGACAAGATCATCCAGACCATGAGCTCTGCCATTGAAAACCATGACCCCGCTCCTGCTCCTGCTGCGGGAGCCGGTGGTGTTGTGCCGCTGCCAGCGGCGGCGGGAAGTGGAGGGGCGGCAGGGGGTGCGGCGGGGAATGCTGCGAGGCTGTCGTATTGGCTGGCGGTCGCGTCGTCGCTGCTGCACCTGCTGCACCGGTCGTTCCGGCCGGGTGCGGCTTCCGCGCTGCAGATGCATGCGCGCAGGAGGCAGCAGCCTGTGTCGCTGTTCGGCCGCATGACCCAGGTGTGCTTGAGAGGGTACTGGTATGACGCCATGAGATTTTGGGGGAATGGGCTGGGTGTACTGGAAGTGGGAGGTGAAAGTGTGTGGTGGAGAGGGTGGGAAGAGGATGGGATTCGAGGAGATGTGTTGCTGCGGATGGAATTGGGATGCCGAGGTTGTACCCCCTGACCAATCCTTGTTGGTCTGCGTATTTCTGTCTGCGTATTTCTGTCCTTAGAACCATCACTTCCTCCCCATCATGTTCGCCTGCATCCCACCAACCCTTCCACCAGCCAACCCACCAGCTCATCTCTTGTTGTGTTCCATCCACCATACGCTCCCGAAATTCTAAACCTCCTCACACATGCAGACATTCCGTGGGCCTGTGTCGTTGTCACCGGACGAGACATCAGCAGCGGAGGCAGATGGGCTGCACCTGGTGGACCCCAAGTTTCCCGCGCTGCTCTTCAAGCAGCAGCTCACGGCGTATGTGGAGAAGGTGTACTCGTGCATCCGAGACAACCTCAAGAAGGACATCTCTCAGATGCTCGTTGCTTGCATACAGGTTTGTGTGGATTGTGGAGTCCCTGTGCTCGTCCCTGTTTCTCAACCACTGCTGGCTTCCAGAAATCCGTTTTTCTGGTTTGCCCTTTACTGTCTCCTCACTTGCATTCCCCCTCCAACTGCCCTCCCCCCCTTCCCTCCACCGTATTCCTCCCTGCCTGCAGGCCTCTCGTTCCTTCCGCACGCCCATGGCGCCACGTCAGCAGCACCGCTCGTCGCCTGACGGGGCGCGGGTGGCGGCACAGAACCAGGCGGCGTCAGTGGCAGCAGCAGTGGCGCAGTGGGGCGGCATCATAGCACGGCTCACGGACCTGCTGAACACGCTCAAGGCCAACCACGTGCCTGCCTTCCTCGTGCGCAGCCTCTTCACTCAGATCTTCGCCTATATCAACGTGCAGCTCTTCAACAGGTGCGTGCTGTCATGGAGAGAGAGTGAGGGGGAAGTGGGGAGGGTGGAGGGTGGGGGGAAGGTGTTGGCGGGCGGGTGGGTGTGTGCGTGTGCAGGTGTTGGTCATCGTGTGTTTCGGCCTCTATTGAGTTGCACGTTTCCTTTTCCAGCATGTATAGGTTTGTTACCGCCTAATCCGCTTTGAATGTGGCCATTCCCCTGCCTTCCTTGTTCCACCTCGCTTGTTGTCTGTTGCAGTCTGCTGCTGCGCCGTGAGTGCTGCTCGTTCAGCAATGGCGAGTACGTGAAGGAGGGTCTGGCAGAGCTGGAGCGCTGGATCATCGAAGCCACGGAGGACTATGCAGGCAGCGCGTGGGAGGAGCTCAGGTTCATTCGACAAGCTGTGGGCTTCCTGGTATGCACTCCTTGCCGCTGCTGCCACCGCCGCTGCTGCTGCTGCTGCTGCTGCTGTTCATTCGACTGGTGCATCGTGGTGTTTCTACTATCTCTATCCGTTCCTCTCTCCCACACCCACACGCGTCCACATACCTTTAATCCGCTTTGGGTCCTGACTTCGCCTCGTTGTCTTTGCCCTCCCCTTGCCACCACTCCTTCCTGCATCGAGCAGGTGATCCACCAAAAGCCCAAGAAGTCACTGGAGGACATCACCAATGACCTGTGCCCTGCGCTGAGCATGCAGCAGCTGTACCGCATCAGCACCATGTACCGCGACGACAAGTACGGCACGCACTCCGTGGCGCCTGCTGTCGTGAACGCCATGCGGTTCAAGAGCACCGAGGAGTCGGCTCAGAATGGCACCAACTCGTTCCTGCTCGACGACGACTCCTCGTGAGTGCTGCTGCTGCTGCTGTGGTTGGTTTGTTTTTCTTTTGCTGGAATGTGTGTGGTGTGTCGTTTGGTCGCTGCACTATGTGGTGCTACAGCCCAGGTTCCTGCAGCTGCTTCTGCAGCTGGTGCTGCATGTTTCCGTTGCTAATCCTGCGTCCATGTAATTTGGAATGGGACGTCATGCCCTTTCCTTCCACCTCCTCCCTGACAACTCTGTTCCATTCCCTTCGTCTCCAACCCACCCCAATTGTCTGGTTGTTTCCACATGGCAGTGTCCCATTCGCCGTGGATGACATATGCAAGGAGCTCCCCAGCATCTCACTCACCCAGCTTTCCCTGCCTCCCCACGTCCGAGACTCGGGTCACCTGCACTTCCTCTTCTCGTAGACCACTGCAGCAGGAACAGCAGCAACAGCAGGAAGAGCAGGATTGGCAGGAAGTCCCCAGGCATCAATGCGTCGTTAGTTTCGGCAGTGTAATAGACGTCTTGGTGTATCTGTAGTGTCTAGGAGACTTGTGCCCGCTACAGTAAGACAGGAGTACATCCAACAGATTGCCACACATGCACTTGTATTTGAGGCTTCATTGTAGCAGAGGTAGGTCATGTACCATTAATTAGTCAGACTGTCAAGCTTGTAGGACTATCCAGACTTGGTAGGTATGACTGTCATCATCAAAAGCAGGCGATGAGTAAGTTTAGGCAGGGTACGGTATTTGGGGGGATAAGGGGGTCAATGTCATGGTACGGTATACTGGATATTATACATGAGATTGCGATCGAGGCCCAAGACATATATCGATCTCAAGATAGCATGCGAGGGAGCCCGCTGCATCCTATGGGATCTACAGAACAGTACATACGCTACAGTATCTCAACCGAGCCTGGGCAAGGCACCTGCAGTGCGACATGCGGCTCGGCTCGAACCCAATCGGGCAACGCCCAACCGCCGATTCCTCCCAACCACCGCCACCACTCCCTCCCTTTCTGCCTCCCTGTTCCCTTCCCTCCCACCCACCTGCAAATGCATACCCAGCTGCTTCTTCCCCGTTCCACCACTTTCCCTCCAAGTCGTGCTGTGTCTTCCGCCTTTGCTGCTGCTCTCCCACCTTCCCCTTCCCTTGCCTCTTGGCTCGCTTTGTAGGTGCCCCTGTCAGTCGCCGTGCAAAATTCCCAGGCAACCAGCTACGCCTTCTGGACTGAACAGAAACGATTCCAGGCACTTGGCTTCGCTGGCAATAGCTCCACTCGTTGGCACTGTTGTACCAATGTCCTTCTTCACGCCACTTCCTGTGGTACTTGTCAGCGGTTGCGATCGCGCCGTAACAGCACGCGCTGTTACTATGGCTATCTATTACCGCAGCTGGCGCCGGGTCAGAACGCGCCTCGTACCCTTCGCTCACCCCTTCCGCCAATCTGCTTTCGCCAAACCCTTCTCCGCCTCGGACCCTCGTAGCCTCCCGTCAGCAAAGTCAACGTTCCGATCGTGGGGGGGAGTCCCCGATCGTGCCGCTACTCAACGTCACACGTACTACTACTATTACTATTTACTCTTACCCCCTTCAACTCTCGCCCATAGAATCAGTGCAACAACGTCCGGCATTAGAACAAGTGGTATTACAAGCGCCAATAGCGCTTGACATTGTCAGCGACTCGGGACTAATCGCTTAGAATCATATTTCCGCAATCCCAATTTTTGCACCGAGTCACTGCAGTAAGCTGCCATTCTTATCCGAAGATCAGGCCAATCTCACACCCCTATATGACGTCATTCCCTCCTAGCGCCTTCCAGTCGTCCCTCGCCCTCCTCTCGCTCCTTACCCTCATCGCCCTCCTCCGCGTGTGTTTTGAGGCGACTCAGATCGCCCTCCCACGCCAGGCGGAAGCCGTCTACACCGATCCGCCGCCGCCGCCGATCCCCGAGGGGTGTGTCGCGGTGGCGGAAGCCGACCGGGAAGCCGTGCGCGCGGTGTTCGCGGCGCTTCCCGAGGGGATTTTATTCTGGGACGACGGCAGGTCGCGGCTCAAGATGCTCGACGGACACGGCAATATCAATGCCACGTACTGCTGCGTCATGCCCAGACCCATGCTGGACGAGTCGTCGTGGACCCACGTCTCGTGTCCAATCGAGTGCACGCCTGCCGGCCGCGTCACGCGCATCTACTCCGACCCGAGACGCGAGGACATGCCCGAGCCCCGCGGGGGCGGAGGGAGCTGCCCGCCCGGCGCGCTGTCGCCCGCCATTGGCGGCCTCGCGGGGCTCTTGTCGCTGGTTTTCCGCCTCTCGTGCCTCGCCGGCAACCTGCCGGACTCCGTCACGCGCCTCCAGAAGCTGACGGAAATCGTCATGCCCGAAAACAACTTCTCCGGGCCCATTCCGCCGGGCCTCTTCCGCTTGCCCGCGCTACGCCACGTGGATCTGAGCACACTCAATGAATTCCCGGAATCTCAAAGCGACATGGGCCCACCCACTAGACCAGAAGGACTAGTCGGCCTGTCTGGGTCCCTTCCCGACGGGCCCGACGCGTACTCTTCGTCGTTGGAAACGGTAATCCTGTCCGGCAACGCGCTCTCGGGGGAGCTTCCGCGCGCCCTTCTCCGCGCGCCCGCGCTGCTCCGGTTGGACCTGCAGAGCAACAACATCACGGGGGAACTCCCGGGGGAGCCGGGCGCGTATTCGCGGAGCATTACCGCGCTCATCCTGCGCAACAACAGCCTGTCCGGCGCCATTCCTCCCGCGCTGGCGGAGATGGCGGCGCTGCGGAAACTCGACCTGGGGGAGAACCGTCTGTCCGGCGCGGTGCCCGCGGCGCTGCTCGACTCCGAGTCGCTCAAGGCGCTCGACGAGGTGCGGCTCGACAGCAACGCGCTCACGGGGCCGTTCTGCGACGCGCTGCTGCCGGCGCGCGAGCTCTGGCTGGGCTTCAACGACCTGGGCGGCGCGACCACCGGGAGCAGCACCAGCGCCACCGGAGGAAGCGGCGGACTCGGCGATGCGGGGCTCGTGGGTGAGGCGGACGAGGCGGGCTCTCTGCACGGCTGCGTGCTGCCCGCGAAGCTAGAGCTTCTCAGCGCGCCGCACGCGGGGCTCCGGGGGAGCGTTCCGCCCGACCTGTTCCTGGCGACGACCGCGCAGTCGGGGCACAGGCCCTCCGTGAAAGCTGTCAACGGTATCCAAATGGACCTAAGCCACAACAGCCTCTCGGGCAGCCTGAAAGCTTTCGCGGTGCTACTGCCGGAGAGTTCCACGTTGGACATGTCGCACAACGACTTCTCCGGCGGCATTCCCGAGGCGTTTTTCACCGGCGGTTTCTCGCGCGCTGACCTGCAGTTTAACGACCTGCGGGATCCGCTGTTCGACGCGCGCTTGGATTCGCGGTCTCGGTTTTGGGTGTACGAATGGGACGAGCTGCGCGTGAGCAACAACAGCGCGCGCATGGCGGGCGCCGTGGGCGCGGGATACCTCCCCGCGCCGGCGCCGGGCGTCCAGGCGTCCGCTGCGGAGACTGCTGCGCTGCTGGCGGTGCGCGATGCGCTCCTGAGGGAAGCAGCGGGGGGAACAGCGGGGAGAGCAGGGGGGGCAACTGCGTTGACGGACGGCGGAATCAGCTCGCGGGCGGATATACTGCGCAGCTGGGACGTGAGCAACAGCAGCGCGTGTGCGTGGTACGGCGTGGGGTGCACAGCAGACGGACACGTGGACACTCTCCATCTAATAGGTGCTTCCAACGTCACCCTGCACCCCAACTTCGTCCCGGAATCGGCCGAATGCAAGTACGACGAGGAGTCTAGAGTCAGGTCATGCACGCATGTTGTTCCGCCGCCTCCCCCCCAAGTGCAGTTCTTCCTGCACGGCCTGCCCGCTGGAAGCGCTAGCGCCGGCAGTGCGGTTGCAAGCGGGCATTTGTCGGAGGCGTTGGGGCAGCTGACGCAGCTCACCTCTTTACGCATCTCCGGGCACGCTCTCTCCGGCGGCCTGCCGCCGTCCCTCTCGCGCCTCTCACACCTCGTCGCTCTCGACCTCTCCTCCAACCGCCACTGCAGCAGCAGCAGCAGCAGCAGCAGCAGGAGCAGGAGCAGCAGCACCCACCACACTGTCACCAGGTTTGGAGAGTCTAGACGTGGGGGGGAACGCCCTCTCCGGGTCCATTCCAGCTGCCGTGAGCGCCCTCACGGGGCTGACGCGCCTGGCGCTGGACCACAACCGGCGCGCCACGGGAGCTCGGCGCGCTCTGGATGCTCCGAGACCTGCACCTGCAGGGGAACGCCCTCCGGGGGGACGTCTCGCTGCCGCCTTCCCCTCCCCTGCTGCTGCTGCCGCCGACTCTGCTGCCTCCAGTGCGCCTGTCTTGTGGGGTCTCAGCGGGGTGTTTCCGCTGCTGACCCGTCTGGACGTCAGCAGCAACGAGCTCTTAGGCGACGCAGCCACGCTCTCCCCTCTCCCGCAATACTTGCACACACTCAACGTCTCTCACAACCGCCTCACGTGCAGCCCCGGCAATGCCTCCTGGAACGCGTACCACATCGACCTCTCACACAACTGCATTAGCGCCCCGCTGCAAAGCTTATTTTCCAGGGACAGTCTCCAGTTTGAGGTGCTGCGCCTGTCGCACAACCAGCTGTCGGGTTCGATTCCTGCCATCCTCAATTCATACTCCATACAGACGCTCGACCTGTCGTTCAACCAGCTGTCCGGCACCATTCCCGAGCTTGATGGCTCGCTGATAACATGTGACTTGTCCCACAACCGGCTCACTGGGATAGTCCCCCCGGCGAATCCTGAAATGGAGTATCCGAACGTGAGCTGGAACCAGCTTGACAGGATTGCCCGATGGAAAGATTACGAGGGTACGGGGTTGAAGAGTCTGGACGTCTCTCACAATGCCATGGCTGGAAATCTGCCGGATTTGGGCAACAGTGATGGGCTGATGAGCCTGACGTATCTGGACTTCTCCTACAATGCGTTTACTGGCACTCTTGCGCAAACTACCTACCCGTTTTTGGAGCAAGTGACAGGCTCTCCAGGAAGTGTGCAAAGTAGGTGCGGAATAGTGGTTCGGCTGAGCCACAATAAGCTCAGTGGAAGCATCCCTAGTTTCGTCTTCTCCTCGTGCCCCGTACTGATCGACCTCTCTGATCACACAACCAGCTCTCTGGCCCCATCCCAGACCCTCCCCAGGGGAAACGCCAGAGCTCCTCCCTCGAGCTTCTCTCCCACTTGGACCTCTCTTCCAACCAACTCACAGGAAGCATCTCCAATGCTCTTGTCACCGGCCTCACAGCCCTGTCCCACTTGGATCTCTCCGACAACCTGCTCTCAGGCTCGCTGCCACGCTCGCTCGCTGCTCTCCCCCCCTCACCCACCTGGACCTCTCACGCAACAAGCTCAAAGGCTCCCTGCCTGCCTTCTGCCAGGGCAAGCAGCGCCTCGCCTCTCTCCTCCTCTCCTCCAACGCTTTCTCCGGCCCCCTCTCCTCCCTCCTCCCCTCCTCCTCCTCCTGCGCCTCCTCCCTCCTCTCCCTCAATTTCTCCACCAACCAGCTCTCCGGCTCGCTCCCCGCGTCCCTCTCACACTTCACCGCTCTGCACTCCTTACTAGCGACGCGCAACCGCATGAGCGGCAGCATCCCTGCAGGGCTGGCATCGCTTACGGCCCTGAAAGAGCTGGACGTGTCATGGAGCGGGCTGTCAGGCACCATCCCTGCGCTGCTGCGTGCTACTGCCCCCTCCCTGCAAGTGCAGCTCGCTGGCAACGCCCACTCTGGCGCCGTCCCCCCCTCTCTCTCCGACCTGCCCACCTCCTGCTTCCGCCCCGGCAACCCCAAGCTCTGTGGGAAGCCCCTGCCTGACTGCAAGAAGCGGTCTTCCAAGCCTAGGAAGGGTCGGGTGTAGGGCACAAGGAGGCAAGAGGACTGTGCGCTGCTTGCAAGAATTGGGGTTTAATGGAACCTGCGGTTGGTTGGATGCAGTTAAGGAGTCCACAGGAAATGCTGCTGTAAAGTCGAATGTAGGTACTACTGCCGTAGCACTGTTGTGCTACTACTAGATTCTCGTATATATATGTATGTAGGTATGTTTACTCACATGTGCTGCGAAGGAACAAGGGGCACCTTGTCAGTTTTGACTGTGGTAGGATTCAACTGCGTGGAAAGTCAAAACGAGAGGGTTTAACTTAGACAGCGTACCTGCTTCTGAAGCCCCCGAAGAGCACAGACGCTCCAATTCAACTATTTCCTTGACGACTCGTGAATGCTGCTGCTGTTTTGTCTTTTTGGTATCTGTGCTGTGCTTGTACGGTAGCGGAGCAGGTCGAGGTTGTCGCCCCTGCTGCATCTTTCTTCTGCTTCTTCAGAATACCGTATGGCACATGAAATTGGTGGCAAACCTACCGTACCACCTGCTTCTTCCCTGGAACCCCTGTCCCATTCCTTTTGCTGCCCCACCCCACTCGATTTGCCTGCTTGTTCCCACATTTCAGTGTCCCATTTGCCGTGAAGGGGATATGAAAGGAGCTCCCCGTCGCCCCCCCTCACCCAACTTTGCTCCCCACTTCCGAGACTCAGGTCATCTGGACTAACTTTTCCCAAAGACCACTCAGCAGCAGCTGTGGTTCATAGACGCAACATCAGCAGAACCAGTAGTAGTCTCAGTTCATAGCACCCGAAGTTGAGAATGTGAGTAGAGCTTGCGAAGGCCAGATGATTTCTGATCTAGGTGTCTGGTCTATCTGTATGTCGGACTAAGAAGAGGGCTTAGTGATTGCGGGATAAAAATTAACTGAACGTTTGAAACATTTTTTGATTTCAAAACTGTAAGACATGCATGGAACTAACCACCCCCACATTGGACCGGCCAAGATGTCTATACATAACCCAAGCATGCATCATGGAACGGCAAGAGAGTGAAAAGACCCATCCATTGATTCATCGACAATTTAGTTGGAGAAGGTCTGGATGATCGTCGTGTTGAAAGGGTCGGCAAGGTGGGTGGTCCAGTTGTCGAGGGGACCCTTGCCGGTGGCAGCGGCCTGGACGCCGAAGCCAAGAGCGGAGATCATGGCGAGGCGGCAGTGCTTGAGCTCAGCCAGCTTCAGGGTGTCCAGCCTGTTGGCATCGGAGGCGAGGCCAAGGGGATCGAAGTAGCCGCCGGGGTACAACCGCTTCTCGGTGTCGAGCTCGGCGTTGCGGGCGAACTCGACGTAGCCAATGATGAGCACCTCCAGGATCACCAGGGTGGTGATGGAGAAGGGCAGGTCCAGACCCCAGTAGGAAGAGCCCTGCTCAAGCTCCACCTGCAGTAACGAAAAAGATGGGTTAGCAGCTGAGCAGATCCATCCGTGAACGAGTTTTGGGAGAGCAAACTGAGAGCGGAATACAATTAGTCGAGGAAGCGAGCGGAATTTACCTTGCCGGCATCTTGCCATGTGACACCAGTCACACCCTCCACGACGAGAGCACCGAGGACGGCAAGCATGGCCCAGCGACCGTGAATGACCTCGTTCTCACGGAAGCGAATGATGGAGAACACCTCGTTGTAGGGGACGAAGGGGGTGGCGGACACCTCGGTCTTCGCGGGCTTGAAGGCAGAGATAACCTCACCGGCCTTGTTCACGGCAGCATTCTGGTCGAGCTCATCCAGCTCGAACTGGAGGTACTCAGCGGGCTTGCCAAAGCCAAGGGGGTCGAAGCCACGGTCACCGATGATGGAGCCATCAAGGTGGTCGGGGATCTTGGCGTTGGGGAACCACACCAGGCGGCCGGAGTCAGGGGCGGGCTTCCTGACGGTGGTGGTCCTCTTCACGGTGGTCTTCTTGGTGCCAGTGGCGGCAACCACGCGGGAGCCGTTGCTGGCGTTGAAGGAGGCAGCACCGGAGATGCTGCTCACGGAGGCCAGGGAGGAAGCAGCAGCGACTGTGGAGGCCATTGTAGCAAATTGGTGTGATAGTAGGTGACCTCGAGCAATCAGTGCTAGCTTCGTTGAACTGGGTGCTGCCAGAATGGGAAAGGGCGAGGGTACTTCAGTGCAAGCAGGCGAGCTGGGCAAAGCTGGGCAAAGCCCAACCCCACGCCACAACATGTTCCTGATCGGTTCTGACCCTCCATTCCCAAGATCAACGAACCAATCAGAGAACGCCACAAAGAAGCGCTCTGGATATGGCAGGCCTTACAATTGGCTCGCGCAAACACTCGCGGGGATTATGGGGAGTGAAGTTCCTCCGTGGCATTGGATCGTCGTCGCCATAAGATCGAACGATGGCTGGTTGTTCGTGGCGATGCTTTCGATTTGGGGTAACCATGAGAGGGTGGATGATGTGTACATAGTTACTGTGTCACCTTATCGCTCGTGCCTCTTGGCTCCAAACTTCGAGGCTAGGGTTTGGAGGGGCATTGCTTAAAACCAGTCCCATAGCGCGGACATCATCGACATCTACAGATCATTAGAAGTTGCTGCCCCTTATATAGGTAGTTCATTTTCAGGAAGGAACCTTTCTTAGAGTCATGCAGAAGTCACCTGATAATATCGATTAATATCTTATACTATTTTATTTCATATTATATTAGTGCTCGAAAATAATGAATACAACTCACAGCATTCTAACACGGCAGATTACATGCAAGCTCACTCGTTAAGAAACTGGAAAACAGAGTCTCACTATATATATATGTTTTAACACCCATTATTATACTCATGCTAGCACATGCTAGAATCAGCAGCAGAGAATCCCATACAGTGGCAATCTTTCTGCAACAACTCTTGCACTGTCGTGGCCTACGCTGTAGCCACAACTTTGGAAGGCCAATCCAAACATCGAACAACACAGAGTTACCAAAAACCGTTTTGCAACAGTTCGTCTCCACTGACCACCTTCCATTGTCACAAGAACGAAAATCGCTGACCTGTCGCCAGCGTCGCTGCCTTGGTATTCTGGTTTCGCTGGTTGATTATCAGCCTTGCCCGTTTCTGTTGCCTCTGCTTTGCCTTGCTGTCTGACCCACAGCCTCAAGTTCCTCATCAATCCACTATCTTCCCCTGTTCGAGCCACTCTCCATATTTCTACTAAGAGGATTTTAATACAAGCTGGCGCTCCACGGCGCTCGAGCATTCTGCAGCGGCAGCGTCAGAACGGCTTTAGTTTCGTTGTCGCGAGCGCTTCCTGCTTGCGCTAGCCGTTCTGCTGCTGCCGGTGTTTCTTCTTCTTGCTCTGCCGCTGATTTTCGTCATCTGAGGGTCATGGCACAGGCGTGCGTTCCGACCATGAGCATGTCAGCCAATCACGTGACGATGTACGACTTAGTAACTTAGCTCGCGAAACTTGTTTCTCTGTCGACGGATCACGTTTTTCCCTCTTTCTTCTTCTGATGCCAATTTATCAGTCATGTAGTCTCAAATTCCTGATTATGACTTCAGATAGGTACATCCCTGAACTACTTGTTTCCTGCCTAGTGCGCTTCCCACCTCCTTTTCCCAATTGCTCCAGCTTCATATTTTATTCCCACCTCGTCCCGACGCCCCTCGCGATTCCGGTTCTCTCTCCCATTCCCACAACATCGCAATGCGCTCTCTCCATCCCGTTGCTTACGCTGATCGTTTGCCTGATCTCCAATGCCCCAGTCCTCGGCAGCACATCGCGTCGTGCCCCGCGCGGTCGCCGCAGCATCAGCTGCTCTTTCCACTCTCGTCGCTGCGCGTGCTGCGCGCAGGGGGCGCCGCGCAGCTTCCTCGTCACGCGTCGGTGTCCGCGAAGCAACAGGGCGGGCGCCGGGGAAAGCGCGCGACTGTATGCGCACTCACCGCGGAGATTGGGGAAACCACCATTTCCCGCGACGGTATGAACTGCATGGATGGAGGTGTGATCTGAAATGCGGGGGGTATGAGGAAGGTGATTGAGCAAAAGGGTCACATTGGACAAAACGTAATGTTGAAGGAATGATGAAAGGGGGGGGAGTTGCTAGCGAGGTAAGGCGTGTAAATTTCTGAGACTGTCGGTAAGGCGATGGACCTCTATTTTCCCAGCTCCTTGGCGAAATTTCTCGCACTATGATTGTGCACGCTGCTGCCTGCGTTTCCCCTCTCCCTCTCTTCCCCCCGCCCTGCTTCCGCGCTTCTTGCCGTCCGCGCTCCGCCCTCCGCCCTCCGCCCCCCGCGTGCGCGCGCAGACGTGGTGCGCGAGGACGACCCGACGAACAACGTGCCGGACACCATCTTCGCGAAGATCGGCGCGCGGCTGCACACGCGCGCGGACCACCCGCTGAGCATCATCCGGTCGGAGATCCACCAGTACTTCGACTCCGCGTACGACAACTCGTTCCTCAAGTTCGACGACCTCGCGCCCATCGTCGCCACCTCCTCGGTACGTACGCACTGCTGCTGCTGCTGCTGCTGCTGCTGCTGCTGTTTGCCGTCCAGTGCGTGTGCCGCGCGTTCATTGATCATTTACCTGCACGTTTATCTCCCTGTCCCTCTCCTCTTCCCGCCCCTCAACCCCCAGCCCCGTTCGCTTCTCCCCACTCCCTTTGCCATTCTCCCACCTCATCCCTCTTTCGATCGACCGTTCTTCACTACCTGCCCCCTCTCCCGCCCCGTCCGGTGCCTCCCCCTCTGCACTGCCACGACCCGACTGCCTGCCTGCCTGCCTGCCTGCCTGCCTGCCTGCCTGGCTGCCCCACCTGCCCATCATGCCCATCTGTCCACATGCGTGCGTGTGTGCGTGCATGCGCTTAAATGCAACGGACGGCCGCAGAACTTTGACGACCTGCTGATCCCGGCGGACCACGTGAGCCGCAGCTACAACGACACGTACTACATCGACGGCGCCACCGTGCTGCGCACGCACACCAGCGCGCACCAGGCGCAGCTGCTGCGCGACGGCCACACGCACTTCCTCGTCACCGGGGACGTGTACCGCCGCGATGCTATTGATGCCACTCACTACCCCGTCTTCCACCAGGTGATGAGATGACACACGAGTCTGTCACACGAGTCTGTCACACGAGTTTGTCACTCTGTTGCTCGCACCTCTATTCGTTATTGTACCCACCGCCCTGTCTCAACCTACCCATGTGCTCTACTTCCTGTGCAGCAGTCATGCATTCCTTTCCTTTTGATCCCATCCCCCTTTCCCCTCCCCACTCCCCTCCCCAATCCCCCTTCCCCCCTTCCCTTCCCCACTCCCCCCTCTCCCTTCTCTTCCCCCCCCCCCCCCATCCCCCCCCCCTTTCCCCGCCCTTTCCCCCCTCCCATTCCACCTTTCACACACGCACACGGCCCACCTCGTCTCCCTCCCTCGTGTTCCGCTGACAGATGGAGGGGTTCCGAGTGTTCAGCCCGGAAGAGCTAGCAGCAGCAGGCGGTGACCCCACAGAGTTCGTGGCGGGGCAGCTCAAGCAGGCGCTCGAGGGGCTCGCCAGACACCTCTTTGGTGAGCAGCAGCGGGACAGGACTGGGTGGGGATGAGGACGGGTGCTGGGCGGGGGACTGGGTGGAGGGGGAAGGGTGCGGGGAACTGGGTGGAGGGGAAAGGGTGCGGGGGACTGGGTGGAGGGGAAAGGGTGCGGGGGACTGGGTGGAGGGGAAAGGGTGCAGGGGACTGGGTGGAGGGGAAAGGGTGAGGGGGACTGGGTGGAGGGGAAAGGGTGAGGGGGACTGGGTGGAGGGGAAAGGGTGAGGGGGACTGGGTGGAGGGGAAAGGGTGAGGGGGACTGGGTGGAGGGGAAAGGGTGAGGGGGACTGGGTGGAGGGGAAAGGGTGAGGGGGACTGGGTGGAGGGGAAAGGGTGAGGGGGACTGGGTGGAGTTGAGTGAACGCTTTGTTCTGCGGCAGGGCCTTGCACAGTTGCTTGCAAAAGGTCGGCTGGTTGATATGATGTGATTGTTCGTGGATTGTTGGGTTGGTGGGTGGTGGGTGGTGGGAGGTGGTGAGTGAGCTGGTCCAAGCAAACTGATGTGTGGTGTCAAGTGCCCGCGTACTGTTGTGCTCTGGTGTGCTGTGCTGTGAGCAGGTGATGTGGAGATGCGGTGGGTGGACACCTACTTCCCCTTCACCAACCCCTCCTTCGAGCTCGAAATCTTCTTCCAGGTCCGTCACTCAGACCCCCTGGCCAACTCTGCTGCTGCTGCTGCTGCCAGCCCCGTGTGTCCACTTGTGCACTCTCTAAGTAAGGTCCATGTATGTGCGGCACAGCAACTGTGTGTGTGGGCTGGTGATCAACACTCCCACCTACACACTCGCTGTCCTCACCCCATCACCTCACGTTTCCCTCTCCGCCGTTCTCCCTCTTCCCCGCCTCCCTCCCCACAACAGGGGCAGTGGTTGGAGGTGCTTGGGTGCGGGGTGACGGAGCAGCAGATTCTGGACAACTGCGGGCTGGCGGGCAGCAAGGCGTGGGCGTTCGGGCTGGGGCTGGAGCGGCTGGCCATGGTGCTCTTTGACATCCCTGACATCCGCCTCTTCTGGTCCAACGATGACCGCTTCCTCACGCAGGCGAGTCACGGGGGGGGGGGGGGGGGGGAAGATTGGGGAGGGGTGGGGATTGATTGAGAGATTTGGCGTAATGTATTGTTTGTGAGAGGAGGGGGGTGGGGGTGGATGAGGGGGGAAACGGGAGGGGCTGTTTAGGTCCCTCCCGAACTTGGCTGGAGCGGCTGGCCATGGTGCTCTTTGACATCCCTGACATCCGCCTCTTCTGGTCCAACGATGACTGCTTCCTCACGCAGGCGAGCCAGGCGGGGGGGCGGGGATGATTAGAGAGAATTGGTACGAAGTAATGATTGTGAGAGAAGGAAAGGGGAGGAGGGGGGTGTGGTGTGGGGAGTGAAGGGGGGATTGGGAGGGTTGATTGAAGAGAGGGCGTGAGGAGGAGAGGGCCCGATTAGGTACCCGAGCCCCCTCAAGCCCCCTCTCCTGATCCGACTTCTCAAGCCCCCTCTCCTGATCCGACTTCTCAAGCCCCCTCTCCTCTGTCGTTCTGTGTCCCCCCCGACTGTGCTTCCCTCTCGTTCCATGTCCCTGCAGTTCAAGGACGGCAAGCTGGGCATCAAGTTCAAGCCATTCTCCAAGGTACTCCCGCCCTCGCTTGCCTTGCCATGCCATTCCTGTTGCACCCCTGCTCTCGCACACTCACACTCACACTAGTGCCAACACTCTGCCCTCTCTACCCCCTCCCCTCTCCCTGTTCTTGCTTCTTGCTTGAACAACGTGTGATGACTCCCCCCCACCCCACTCCACCCCCAAACCCCCTTCCCCCACGCTCAACCCCCACGCTCTCAACCCCACCATCTTCACTGCCTTGGCCTATTGGCTCCTACACATGTTCCTCCCTACACTGCCCCCCACATCCCCGACTCTGGCTTGCTGCATGCCCATGCTTCTGTAACACGTCCTCCGCCTTCTGTGCTCTTTCTCTCTGCTCCTTGCTCCTGCGCTGCTCTGCTCCCTTGCTGCGTGCCCCAATATATGTATGTGTATGTGTGTGAATGTGCGTGTATGTGTGTGTAATTGTATATGTGTGTGTGTGCGAGTGACAGTACCCGCCATGCTACAAGGACATGAGCTTCTGGCTGAGTGACTCATTCACAGAGAACAACCTCTGTGAGGTCGTGCGCGGGCTCGCAGGGGACCTTGCTGAAGAGGTGTGCACTGGGGGCGAGAGGGTGGGGGGTAGTGTGGGGTAGGTGGGTTGGGACACGGGAGGCAAGGTGTTGGGGGGTGCGGGGGAGGGAAGTTGGAAGGCGGGCGTGGGAGGGATGGGGAGGGGGACCGGGCAAGGGAAGGTGGAGGAGGGCGACGGTGGGAAGGTGCGGGGTTGGGGGGGAGAATTCGGTACCTCTTATGACTTTCCTATCCTGCTCATCTCTCCTTCAGTGTCCTGTTCCACTATCATTTACACTCTTACCTCCTTCCGCGCCTAGCCTCCTTTGGCCGAATGACTAGTCACCGCCGCGTCTGGCTGTCTACTCCTCCTCGCACCTTCCATGTCTCGCATTTTGCCCGAGCCTTCCCCAATCCTTCAACATCCTCTGCTCAGCCCCCTTCCCCGACCCACCCCATCACCGGAAGTGCTGGTCCCCTCCCCATGTTTCATATGGGCCATCCTCTTGAAGTACTAATTCCATCTCACTCTCCCATCCTGCCCCATTGCTCCATCCCCTCTCTCCTCCCGCCTCCTCCCTGCCCCCCCGTTGGCATGTGCAGGTGCGGCTGATAGACAACTTCACGAACAAGAAGGGCATGACGAGCCACTGCTACCGCATCACGTACCGCTCCATGGAGCGCTCTCTCACCGACGAGGAGATCAACGAGATCCAGGTGGGTTCCGTGCACACGAGTGGCACACTGTTGAGAACTTCTGAAGCCGCATCACGTATTGCTCCATGGAGCGCTCTCTCACCGACGAGGAGATCAATGAGATCCAGGTCAGAGCACTGCCCTAAAAAATACCCGGAGTTCCAGGTGCACTGTACGGGTGAGGAGGCTCAGGGATGGGAAGAAAGTGCGGGTGATAGGTGTGTGGGTGGAGCGAGGAAGTGACATGGTATAATGCATCCTTCACATGGTTTTGAATAAACAGATTGCATGGGTGGATGCTGGGTTATGCGAAACAGGAGGGGTTTAGGTTATGAACATTGCGAGACCAGAAACCGGGCAGGGCAAATGCTCTTCTAGTGGTGGTTCCCGCTTCCTTTTCCCACCCTCTTCTTCCCTGCGTTTGTGCTGTGCTGCCCCATGGCATTGGCAGGCCAAGGTACGAGAGGCGGCAGCGGAGAAGCTGAAGATTACTCTTCGTTAAAGCAGCTGCGGGCAGTGCCAGGGAGTAGCAGAGCAGTGGAGATGCTGAGAGAAGCTGAGAGCCTGAGTGAGGTGTTGAAGCTGGCATGGTGGGGGGGAGCTGGACCCTTGCATGGATTGGATCTGGGAGAGAAGGCTCTGTCAGTTTGATCTTGGAGAGTTGCAGAAGCACTGGTAGATCAAGGATTGAATCAGCCAGCCAAAAATGAAATGTGAGGAGAAATTTATTGTACATCTTTGTTGCTTCCACTAGTTGCTGAGGTAACTGGATCAGGATGGATCAGTCATATATTGCATCACTACCCTGACCACAGGAATTTAAGATGGTACCTCTGATACTACCATAGCAGAAGTCGCTGATAATGTTCAGGGAACTCTAAGCTAACGTAAATAACTGGGGAATGTCTTCACTAAAGAACAAAAAGGCCACTTGCTCACGATCTACAGCATAGCTATATAATAGGATAGGTACGTTAGATAGGTAGTAGGGTAAAGCTAACGCGTCGGGCGCGGAGGCCACATCTTTTGCTTCTTGACCTGAGGTCCCGCATCCACCTCACTGATAAAGCTCAACAAGACAACAAAACACCCATCAGGTAATGATTATGTGAAATGGATACAAGAACACCCAAGACATATGTTCTGCAGCACTTGACTTGAAATGTTGATGGGTTATTGATGGAACTAAGGCAAGGCACGCACCTGATGTCATGTGGAGTGATGAAGATCCACTGACTGCCGTTGCTGATGGCAAAATCTACCGCATGGCGAAGGCAGATCTTGCGCGTGATGTTATCCTGCCATGCCATGCCATGCCATGCCAACCACAGATGCCATGCCACACAATTCCACGTCACCCAATGTCCCGAAAACAGAGTGTGTCAACAAACGTGGTGAAAATCGTCAAGAAAACTGAGCCCTCTCAAAAGCCCCTACTCTCGCGGTGCGGAAGGGAAGGCAACGCACCATGAAGATGTCGAATTCGTCCATGGCGCGCGCGCTGGCGCCTCTGTGAGGAGTAAACATTGTGCAGGTGATTTTCTGAGCCCACTGAAAAGCCCTTACTCTCACGGCATGGGAAGGCAACGCAGCATGAAGATGTCAAACTCGTCCCTGGCGCGCGCACTGGCGCCATTGTGCGGAGCAAAAGTGTGTTGACTTACCATGACCAGACCAGATGACGTGCCTCACCAAGAAGATGTCGAATTCGTCCATGGCACGCACTGGCGCCTCTCTGAAGAGAACACACCTGGGAGCCGATAAACCTCTGAGGTGATTCTATGAGCCTATTCAAAAGCACCTACTCTCACGGGGCGTGGGAACGCAAAGCACGCACCATGAAGATGTCGAATTCGTCCATGGCACGCACTGGCGCCTCTGTGAGCTGGTGCAGCGACAGCGCAAAGCACAGCGTGGAGAATGACCGCTCCCCGCCTGATCCCAAGGCACGGAGGAAAACGGAGGACAAGGGGGGATCCAGTAGAGTGTGAGAGAGGACTAGTGCGAGTGAAGGGACGGCGTGGCAGAGTGTCTGTGGCAGGAGTGTGTGTGTGTGTGTGGAAGGAGTGTGCTTGTAGCAGGAGTGTGCCGGTGGCTGGGGTTACAAGTAGGGAGGTCGAGACGAGCACAGCAGGCAGTGCAGGCGCATGCACACGTGCACTTCAGCAGCATTTGGACAGCATCTCCATGTGCCGAAGAGTTGATTTTACCTTTAAAACAGCTGCTCATTTCGATGCCACGGCTACCCCTTAGCAAGAATCCCTTGAAAGTAACCAGTCCCACAATGACCTCAGCATGCCAGCATCCCTACTCTCTCGTCGCATCCACACCCCCTCTCATCATCATCTCCCCCTCCAGATGGGGCTTCGTTAGTACCTGATAGAGCCTTGACATCACTAACTGCGCCAGTGGATGTGTTAATCTGCGGTACGTCAGCAGTGGGACAATGAGGGGAGGGGGGCCAGGGGGCCAGGGGGCGAGGGAAGAGGGAAGGAGGGGCAGATGGGGAAGGCAGACATGAGCTGTTAAACGGCAGTATGTGAGAGAGAGAGAGAGAAAAAAAGAACCTTCAAACCAATCAACCCACACACCCGAACCATTCACCCCGCACAAAGTGCAAATCTCATATCCCACCCACTCATCCCCCCCCCCCTCCACCCACTCATCCCCCCCCTCCACCCACTCATCCCCCCCCTCCACCCACTCATTCCGTCCCACCATGCCAGCACACACCTCGAGCGTGAGTGTGCCTTGAGTGTGATCCACCAGCACATGCCCCGTGTACCGCTTCCTGCGTGAAATGAGAAGAGCTTAGAGTCGACGACTCAAAGCTCAGCTGGCAGGCACGTACCTCGAGAGTCAGTGTGCCCTGGGTGTGATCCACCGACACATGCCCCGTGTACCACTTCCTGCGTGAAATGAGACGAGCTTTGAGTCAACGACTCAAAGCTCAGCTGGCAGGCACGTACCTCGAGAGTGAGTGTTCCCTGGGTGTGATCCACCAACACATGCCCTGTGTACCGCTTCCTGCTCAGATGATCCTGAAACCTGCGTGCAGGGAGGCGAAGGACGTTGGAGGGAGGGAGATGGCGGAGGGTTTAAGAGGGTGCTCTGACAAAAGGAGGGGGATGTGTGGGGATCAACTTGAATGGGTAGATAGCTAGCATGCGTTAGGAAGAGAAGATGAATGCTCTGAAAGGTGGTCATGGTGAGGGAGGAAGCTCACCTGTATGCAATGCCAGTTCCGTTTTAGTCGCACACTCCCTCCCATGCCCCAATGCCAACCCGCATACTCCCATGTTCCGTACCAACCCAACCACTGTACATCTTGCATATGCCAGCATATGCCCCCCAATCTTCCTTCTCTTCTTCCCACCCCTCTCCTAGACACACCCCCACCCCCACTCCCGATGCCCCGACAGGCTGACACTCACGTCCAGTCCAGGTTTTGGCCCAGCCGGTTGGAGTCAATCCTGAGTGCATTCACCCGCTTTCCCAGTGACTTCTCCAATTGCTGTCGTTCGGTGGAGAGGTGTGTGGATGGGTGGGTGGATGGGTAGAGGGATGAATTGGTGGGTCGATGATGGCTGGATGGATGGAAGGATGGAACAAGCTTCGTACCTCAGTGCTTAACTTGCTCTCCCACCAGGAACAACAACAACAACAACAATGACAGCAACAATAACAACAACAAAGCGACGAAGTTGGGAGTAATCATTAAGGGAAAAAAACCAGACGTAAGGCCTATCAGGCGAATAAAGAATGCACGGCGCAACACGCGTTTGCCTGACCCCCACAGTGCACATGCATTCTCACCTCGTGGCGGAGGGAGATGAGGCGGATGGTGTTGCTGGTGGCAGTGTAGCGTCCCCTCAGCTTCTGCGCCCTGTGCTGCAGCTCCTCCTTCCGCTCCGGGGCCAGCCTGCGGGGACAGCCAGCCAGGGGCGAGAAGGACAGAGAAAAGGCGAAAAGAGCTTGGGTGACAAGCAGAAGGATGGCTTTTGAGACGCCTCAAAAGAGCGAGAAGAGCTTTATTGAGTGACACGCAGAAGGATGGAGTTGTGTCGCTTGGTGTGCACTTGGGTGCACTTTGTACTAGATTTTTGGCCCCCTTTGTACATAATTGACGTTGATGCGCTTTTTCTAGCTGAGCAATACTTATGTGGTACCGCAAAAAAAATGGAAGGGTATATTCGCAGCTGAAGAAACTAGAGGAAAAGGATTTGTGACATTCAGGATATCGTGAATGAAACCCCATTGAAGCAAGAAATCACAACGGATGTTAAATTCTGATAGGAATGTCCTGTATGCTCGACTCCACACGCCCAGTTTCACTCCCACTGTTGCTTTCCACCTATAACTACCCCCCCCCCAACCCCCCCCCTCCGCCCCCTTTGTTTCTCACACGGCCTGGTAGTCCTGGGGCAGCGTGGCACGCAGGCGAATGAGTCGCTCGCTACTTCCTGCTTCCCCATTCCCTTCACCACAAACCCTACATCACTCTCACACCCCTTCCCCTCACTCCCCCACACCCCAGTTCCCTCCCTCCACCCCCCCCCCCTCGCTCACACGGCATGGTAGTCCTTGGGCAGCTCGGCGCGCAGGCGAATGAGGCGCTTTCTCAGGTCCTCTGAATTCATCACCTCCTCGCCCTCCTGCTGCCCCTCCTCCTCCTCACACACCACCGCCGCCTGCTGCCGCTTCGCCTGCAAATGGGGCACAGGGGCAGAGAAGAGTGTTTTTGAGATTTCTCAAAAGGCACAGGGGCAGAGAAGAGTGGATGCCGGGTGTCAGAGGGAACTTTTGAGTCGACTCAAAAGTCAACTCGGCAAAGAAGAGAGGACGCCGGGTATCAGAGGGAGAGGGTGAAGGGGAGGCGGGGAGAGAGGACGCAAGAGGTGGCGGAAATGGGTGGGGAGGGGAGGGAAATGGGAGGGGGGGAATAGAGAGGGGGAAGGAGGAAGATGAAAAGGGTACGCAGATACAAGAATAGGTGAGAAGGGATGAAAGCAGGGCGTGTTTGAATGAACTCGCAATGGGAACTCGCAATGGGAACAGTCAGTCACCTGTGCGTCACTCCTCTTCTGCTCTATGTCTGCGTCGCTCGCTCCCACAGTGTGCTGCAGGCGCTGCAGCTCGTCTGTTAGCCGCTTCACTGCCTGCAATGCATGCACACGTGCACGAGTACACACGGGCACACGCACACATGGACACATGCACACACACACACGCATGCAACAACCCACGCCAGGAGTCAGGTCAGGTCGCTGTATTGTAAGCGGAGAAAGGAGGTTGGGGTGAAGACACTAAGCAGGGCCATACACCAGAACAATACATCCGCTACACACACCTCCCCTTCCCTCCCCTTCCCTCCCCCTCTCTGCCATGCACTCAACGTCACCCCTGTTTTAAAAATAACGAGCGCCCGTACCACTTCTACCAGTAGTTCCCCCAAGAGCCAAAAAAACCTCTGAGGTGATGTCTTTCATTCCCTTGATTCCCAACAACCCCTTGGCGAGTCAACCAAGAGCCAGACGAGAACCAAGAGCCAGACGAGAACCAAGAGCCCAATGAGTGTGTTTGGTACCACAGACGAGGGGCAGGGGGAGGGAGAGGGAAAGGAGAAGGTTGGGGCGAGGGAGAGGGAAGGGGAGCAGCAGAGGGAGAAGAAGCGGGAAAGGGAGACGGAAAGGGGTGCGGCAAGGGAGAGGCATCGCACCGCCTGCATCCTGCGCTGCTGTGTGGTGAGCTGGTCCATTCGCTCCATGGTGACTTTTGAGTTGACTCAAGAGGGAAAGGGAGAGGGAAACGGATGGGGCGAGGGAGGTGAAGCGACGCACCGCCTGCATCCTGCGCTGCTGTGTGGTGAGCTGGTCCATTCGCTCCATGGCCCCTCCCAACGCCTCGTCCAATGCCCTTAGCTCCTCTGGCGAGCACACACACGCACACAGGAGACGGACACACACACAAAGGGGAGGAGGACGGAGCAAGGTGCGGGAAAGAGAGGGAGACGGGGTAGACGGGGAAGGTGAGGGAAAGGAGGAAGAGGAGGAGAATATGATTATTGGGGTGAGTTTCTTCGAACCGGGTGCATGCTTCTGATGGCAATGGGAGCAAACCCATCCACCACAGGTCCTGCTGCCACAAGTTACTCTATTGCTTTCACGGTGCTACAATCTTTCATACCCATGTCCGCCCTTTCATACCAGCTGCAAACGAGATTCTCATCCTCCCCCCCCTTGCACCCTCACTCCCTTGCACCCTCACTCCCTTGCACCCTCACTCCCTTGCACCCTCACTCCCTTGCACCTTCAAGTCGTCCTTTGTTCCCCAGCACCACCCGCTCCTCCTCCTTTGCCTGCTCCAGTCGCCCCTTCTCTTCCTCCCACACGGCCCTCTCTGTTTCCGCCTCCGCCTCCACACGCTGCCACCCACACAGCAGCACACAGCACAGAGAGAAAAGAGGAGTGTAAGATTGTGCATTCTGGAGGCGACCAGATTACAGCTTTTTCAGATGCCGGAAGCTGTACGAGTTGAATGAGAAGGCAAAGATGCAACCTCACAAGGAGCAGCAGCATCTCCTGTGCACAATTCCCTCCCATCCATCCCTTTCCTTCACGGACACCACTCTACATCCCACCGATTCCCCTTCCTCGCTTCCTGCCACCTCAATTCTCTCTCCCCCACTGGTGAGCGCGCACCTCCAGCTCCTCTTCCAGGTCGGACACGTTGACCTGCGACTCAAACTGCTGCGCAGCCAGCATCTGGTGCCGCACCTCCCGCAGCTCAATCTGCGCCATGCGCACCACGCGCTCCGCATCGCCCTGCGCGATCTGCAGCTGCTGCAACTGCTCCCGCTTGCGCCGCAGCTCCCGCTCCCCCGCCTCCCTCTGCCTGCGCAGCTGCTCTGCGGAGGAGAGGAGCCGCTCCTCCTCCTCTCGCCCCTTCGCCTCGTCCTCTTCCAAGTTGCAGCCCAGCCGCCCGCCCCTCATGTTGCGCTTGCACGGCAAGCTGACCTCCTGGTTCCCTCGCATGAAGCTGCAGCGGGGTTGAGATGAGGGTGGGTGGGGTGGGGTGGGAGGGATGGTGGGAGTGATTTCTTGGCAATTCCAAAACGTGCCTCACAGGCTGCAGTTGCATGGTAAGATCACAACCTGATTCCCTCGCAAGAAGCTGCAACGTTGGGGCGGTGGGTGGGGTGGGTGGGGTGGGTGGGGCGGGCATGTGTGGGTGCCACGCCACCCGGTGGGGTTGGATGCGATTGGGAAGAGGAGAGAGAGGTGATTCAGAAAGAATGTGGCATTGCTGGCAGGGGTAAAAGGAAGGAGAGAAAAAGAGGCAAGAGGACAGGGGCCCGCGCGCAAAGGGCAGAAAAGAAAATAAAAAGAAAAGGGAAAAAAAAAAAAAAACACAGGCAGTGGAAGCGCGGATTGGGAGCATAGTGTAGGAAAGTAATGGAAACTTGAATGGGAGGATGGATTCGGGAGCTGATAAAGGGATGGATGGAGGGAGGCGAGGGGGAAGGGAAAGGAGAGGAGGGGAGAGAAGAGAAGAGGAGAGGAGAGGCACGGACAGGCGCATGCCGTCCTGCGTGATGCACTCCCTGACGCGGGACACGAGCGCTCGGCTGAAGGCCACCTCCTTGCCCCCGTCAAAGTCACGCACTAGCACTGTCATCTCCACTCCTGCCTGAGGGGAAGGGGACACGCAGGGGTGGAACGACTTTTGAGGCGCCTCAAAGGTCACCTCCTTGCCCTCGTCAAAGCCACCCACTAGCACTGTCGTCTCCACTCCTCTCTGGTGGGAGTCGTGCAGACAGAGAGAGGGGAGGAGAGGGAAGGAGAGAGCGTGAGGGGGAGAGGGGAAGAGGACACGATAGGGAGATGGGCATGGTGCACACAACTGGGGTGGAGACGCTGAGAGCACGAACAGCACGATCACATGTTTTGAGGCGCGTCAAGAATCAGCTCGGGCGGGCGTACCTCGATGAGCATGTTGCACACGACAGGGTTGGCGACGCTGAGAGCACAGACAGCACAGTCACATGTTTTGAGTTGAGGCGGCTCAAGAATTGGCTCAGCTCGGGCGGGCGTACCTGGTCGATGCGCACGTTGCGCACGACCGGGTTGGCAATATTCAGCACGGACAGCACCGCAATAAGACCATCTTTGAGGCGCCTCAACAGTAGACCATCTTTGAGGCGCCTTCAAACTTGTGTCATTCCAAGCGGCGTACCTGGTCGATGAGCACATTGCGCACGACCGGGTTGGCGATATTCAGCACAGACAGCACAGTCACAAGCCCCTCAGGTGGCAGCACGTGCGCAGGAGGCTCTATGCTGCACCAGGGGGGAGCGGGCAGAGGAAAGGAAAGGGCTGCAGCGGTCACCAAGGCAGGCAGGAAAGTGGGAAGGTGGAGGAGCATGCGTTTCTAGAAAGGATTGATTAGAAACGAAGGTTACGGGGGAAGAGGGGTTCGAGATACCTTCAGAGGGGGGCAGCATGTGTTGGGGAAAATGGCAATAGGAACCAAGTGGAAAGAAAGAGTGGGGTGGAGAGCAAATACAAGTGGAGCGTACAGCGGGAGGGAGAAACGAGTGGCAAACCGGAGAAGGGGGAAAGAGAGGGCATACAAGTGGATGGTGGAGAGAGGGCATACGGGGGAAGGGTAAAAGTGGGCATATGGAGGGAGGTCAAAGCCGTAACAGACAGATACGGGAGGGGGAGATGTACGGCCGGGGGTGGGGGGGGGGGGGGCGAGGGCATACGGGGGGAGGTCGAAGCCGTAAGTGACGACAGTGAGGTTGTGGAAGTTGATGGAGGCTGCAAGGCGCTTGAGCGCCTGGTAGTCCTCAAGGCAGGATACTATGAAGGAGTCCAGCATCCGCCCCACCGCCACCTCCACCGCCAGACTGTAGTGCGCTGACTCGAGTGACTGTGGGAGTGTGGGGACGAGAGGACACAGGCGGGAAATGGTTGAACGAGCGCATGGTAGTCCTCAAGGCAGGAGACTATGAAGGAGTCCAGCATTCGCCCCACCGCCACCTCCACCGCCAGACTGTAGTGCGCTGACTCCAGTGACTGTGGGGGGGGGGGAGGGTGGAGGTGGGGGGAGCGAGGGGAGAGTGGGACTACCACTGCATTTTATAGCAAGGGACGGGCACATCAGCAACGTGGGCATGGGCATGAGTACACACGTGAGCATGGAAATGGGCATGCGCATGGAGCATGGGGGATGGAGCATGGGGCATGGGACATGGGGCATGAGGCATGGGGCATGAGGCATGGGGCATGAGGCATGAGGCATGGGGTATGGGACATGGGGCATGAGGCATGAGGCATGGGGTATGGGGCATGGGGCATGGGGTATGGGGCATGGGACATGGGGCATGAGGCATGGGGTATGGGGTATGGGACATGGGGCATGAGGCATGAGGCATGGGGTATGGGGCATGGGGCATGGGACATGGGGCATGGGGTATGGGGCATGAGCGTGGGTAAATCACCAAATGAGCTCCGATGGGGCCGATGGGCGGGCGCCTGAACCTCCTGATGTTCATCTCTATTTGCCTCAGCAGCTGCGTCACCTTCTGGCCTCCGAATGCCGTCAGCTGCCTCACAGCACACCACAGCACACAACAAAAGCCACGAAGACAGAAGGAGCACTTCTTATCACAGAGAAACAAGATGCAGCGCACAGGGAGCACGGGTCAGTCAGAACAAGAAAGTGGGCACGGTATGCAAGTGCAGCGCGGACGAAGGAACAGGCGGAGAGCGGCATGACATTGGAGGCATGAATGTGTGCAGTGCAGTGTCATGCCGCTGCTCACCATCCCATATCTCACATCACCCCATGCCACACACCACTCCACACAGCACCGCACCACACCGCACCACACCATCCCCCCAGCAGTCTTACCTTGTCCCTCGCCTCATCTCGCCGCCGCCTCAGCCACGCCTGCACGTCCCTCGCCCTGGCCCGCGCATCATCCTCCTGCAGTGCCAACAAGATGGGAGGGTGGGAGAGAACGGAAGGAGGGGAAATACGGCGCATGGAGACGGGTTCATTTGTCTTGTAACAAAGAGGAGGAGGAGGAGGAGGAGGAGGAGGAGGAGGAGGAGGAGGAGGAGGAGGAGG